GGGAGAAAAACCCTTAAAAGAGATAAGGGGTGGGGGAATCAAGAACCCCAGACTTCCAGAAGGGGCTGAATATGGCTGAGGGGCCCATGAACTGCTTCAACTCAAAGATGGAACTTACAAACCACCCAGAGGCTGTTCTCTCCTCTTTGAACCCTGCAGGCTTCTGTTGCATCACTGTTTTTTTATCCCTACTGCAAAAATTCTGTGAAGGGAAAAAGCCAGAATAGCTCCGTTTGGTTGGTAACATTAGGAGCAATCCATTAGGAAGAGCCCAGGGGAAGAGGTATGGTTGTCTGAAACCCCAGAAAAAAACTCTCTGTGCTGCAAAAAACAGAAAAAAACCCTCTTTGCTCCTGCATGTGGTTCCTATGTCTATGCTGCAAAATTTTGTTGTGCAGGTTACCTGCTTGTTTATCTTTGCTTCAGCTTAGGAAAGAATAAAGGTTTTCCTGGACAGAGTGAGAAAAGAGTCAAAAAGTTATGTTTGGCAAGGATGGGTAGACTTATGGGATCTCCTTTGTTGGTTGTTTGGTTGTTGTCGTTTTGCAAGAGCCATCAGACCCGGGGAATTTTGGCTACGGGGTGGAATAGATATGAAATGAATAAATAATCCACCAGCTAGATCTGGGTGTAAAATATTGACAAATAAAGGAAAAGGAAAAGCACAGAGGAATGCGTTTGTTATTCACATTGTTATGCATATTCTCTTGACATTAGGGGAAAACCTTTTATAGATAAGTTACAAACAGAGAAAAAGGCAAATAAACATTTTGCACAAGTTATTTGAACACATTCTGTACAGAATCTTCAAGTGGCTGTCATCATTTGTACAAACTCTTCATAATTTACTTGACCATCACCATCAAAGCTTCTCTAATCACCTCATCCACTTCTTCATCCACTAATTTCTCTCCCAAGATTTGTTATCATATGATGAAGATGGGTCAGTATTTTACAGAGCAAATGTGGTGGATCAGGACTGAGGAGATCTGGGTTCTACTCCCCACTCAGCCTTGAAGCTCGTGGCCTCTTGGCCAAGCCCACCTCACAGGGTTGTTGTGAAGCGGGAGGGATGATGCAAAAGTCCCTTTGAGTTCTCTGCAGGGAAAAGTGTATTGATTTATTTAACTCTGTTGTATACTGTTGCACTAGCCCCATGGTGAGCTAGGTGTTCCTTCCTAAGCAAGACAGCTCTCCAGCGCTTCTTGTAAGCTCCTTTATTCTACATAGAAGTCTCTAAGTATACACAAGCCTCTGAGCATACATAAAGTGATGCTTATGAACCCTTTGAGGCCTGTCTCGGGAAGGAGGGGTGCTGTGGAACCGGGGGTGCCTGTGTTCTGCACTTTGAGCCCCCAATTGCGCCAGCCTGTGGGTTCATCCTGAGAGGTGGACATTATCCATGTGCCCCTTTTCCCAATCTCCTCCCTCAGGAAATGTTTGTCCTTTTTCTCCTTCGTTCCCACAGGTGGGGTGGGGTGGGGGGGGACTGAGCCCCATGGCTGTCCTTGAGCTGCCTGTGTCCAGAGCAGGCTCGGACTGGCACTGCAGGGGAGTGTGCAGCTGCCGGCCTCTCTCTCACAACAACAGTTCTGTTATCAGAGTGTGAACGCCGCACCCCGTCTGGGACAGCCAGCTCCCCAGCAGCCCCCAACTCGGAGCTATCAGTCCCACCAAAACAGGCTGCTCCTCTCACGTCCCTCGCAATCAATCTTACCTGCATGCTCATGCAGCGCTCTGGAAGGTTTGCATAAGCTGGGGTGGAAGTCCTCAGCTCAGGATTTTGTTGGGCACCAGTCCCAGAATCAGCACAAGTGGCCAGGTGTCCTCTGCTATGGAGAAGGGCAGGACAGACCCCTGGTCAATTTCCCATTCCCCAATTTATGTATTTATTAGAATTATACCCTGCTTTATTTCTTGCAAAGATCTCAAAGCATCTTGTGTAATTCTCTTGCTGCTCTCAGTCTTATCCCCACAACAACAACAACCCTGAGAGATACAAGTCCCAGAAAATCTCCTCAGAGGCTGCTGGACTTCCATGGATGTCAGCAGTGCCATTTGGGTGGGCATGCCATGCCTAAAATTGAGGAAGAAAAGGAAAAATATTAATTGTATGCAATGTTGGTAGAGTTTCAAGACTCGTTGCTTGTTGTGATGTGTAAAACAACCCTGCAAGGTAGTCTTGTGTTAGGATCCCTCATACTGCAGAGGAGTGAGATTGAGCCAGTATAGCTTATCAAAGGCTGGGGAGTGGAAGAGGTGAAGTTTGAACTGAGGTTTCATGATTTGGGATGAACCTAGTGTGACTATGCCATCTTGCAATGCTAATTTTCAGAGTGCAGGCAGTCCTGAAATTCTGCACGGCCTTCCCTCCAGTCGAAAAATCCGGGCAACGGTGTTGATCTGTATCAGCCAACCCATTCCAGCTGTTCTCATTTCCACCAGGAGCAGGGCTTAAATGGGTTTTAATTTCGTATTCCAGGCTGAGTCAGTGCCACATACTCTGCATGACAACAAGAAAAATGATCATGGCTGGGAAAATTCATTGCTATTGTGAGGAAAGCCACTTGGCTTGGAGGGAACCAGGACATCAAAGGGGTGGCGGCAGCACATTTGGGGATGTAAAAAAGGGCGGCGTGTCGTTGAGAACTCTTTCCATTGGCTGTTGTGTTTTTGTACACTCAGCATTTGTGGGAAAATGGCACTTGTCCATAAGCAGAGTGCTTGCATTTGGATCCATATTTGCTGGTGAATAGACTTTCAGGGCAGGGAGTTGTTGTTGCTGTTGTTGCTGTGGTTGTTGTTGTTGTTGATGATATTTCTGTACTGCCCAACGGCTGAAACTCTCTGGTGCATGGTTACCGTGTGAGCAGCTATTGTGACTAAAAGAGCAATGAAAAGAATAAGGTGCTTGGAGGTGCCAAAGGGCAATTCTTGGGGAAAGAGTAACCAGATTCTGTACGTATTTAGCATTCTGTTTCGCCGCTTTCTGTTGGCAGTGTGTCACCTCCTACTTGCCGTAGAAGTGAGGCGATGAATACTGATTCCCACCCTCACTCTCTGTATGGTTGCCACACACACACAGCCCTGCTTACCGTCAAAAAGACTTGTGGTCCAATCCTCAGTCATTCCAGGGGACGATGAAGTAGAAGGAAACATTTAAATTGGAGTGCTGTGAGCATCTCTCTGTGGCATGGAGGTTAAATAGGTGGCTATGTTGCACCAGGAGAGTTAGAGAGCTCTAGCCCAGTTTGGAACTGAGGGGTCCTTGGAGGCCATCAAGTCCAGCCCCATGCTCATGGCAGGGTCAGCACTCCACAAAACGGCCGCAGCAGCTGCCCCTACCTGGGTGCCCTCCAGTTGCCTGGGGCTATAGCTGCGGCCAGCACTGGTCCCTGGCCCAAAACATACAGAGGGTGCCAGGAAAAATGAATTCCAGCATTGCTGTGTTGGCAGGCAATCAGCAGTCTGTTGATGAAATGCTTGCAGCAAACAAGTGTTCATTCCCACCCAAGGTGGTCTGTTCGGCCACTGGACGCCTCGTACTTAACATTCCCTGAAATATACACTTCCCTGCCCACTGGTTCCACTCTTGCCCTCCAGGGCACGGTGCCCACTTCTGATTTTTTCCAGTTGCTGTTGGTGCATTCCCAGTAGGGAAGGACAGATTTGGTCGAACCTGTTCCACCTCTGTTCTGCAGAACGACAGGTGTCTTTTCTTTCATCCTTTGCTTGATGGCAAAATCAGAATTTAGGAATGTGCAAGAATTTCATTCCATGAGCACTAATTTCCACTGTCACTGGTGTGCATTAGTGCATGTGAGGCTTTGTGCTCCCCCTTAACCAAACCAACCCAACCCAACCCAACCCAAACCAAACCACTCAAAAAAATCTTGTTCTCAGAAAAAAACAAAAACAGTTCAGTTCATGGCGCTTTGTATGAATTTGATTTGTTTGTCAGATTTCTCTGACAGGCCTAATTCTAACTGCTAACCACAGTCACTGCCAGGAATGGAACCTCCATTTTTTGTAGCAGTCTACCTGAGAATTAAATAGTGTGGTGGAGGGGAGAATAATCAATGTCTTTCTCTTGCTTTTCAAAAAGTGACGCATAGCCTGCAGGGTTCAATTACTGATCGATTTTCTTCTGAGATGATGGGAGTTGTAGTCACATCTTGAGCAGTAGTTCTTGAAATTGGGTGAGAGCATGGACAAATTCATGGAGGATAAGGTCAGGTGGATACTAGCCAGGATAGCTAGTGAGCTTTTTGGGTCTGGGGTACCAACCCCTAAGTTGGCCACTCCTTCCTTGGAGGTACTTGCCCAGCTGCTGCAGGAACATGGATTCTGGACTTCATAATCTGTCCCATGCATGTCCATCATGATAGCAAAATGCACAGGGAACCTCTTGCCAGGTTGCCAAACACTGGGGGCAAGAAACATGCTCTGCCTTGTGTATGTATGCATTTAATTTATTTCCCACCTTTTTCTGTCTAAGGAACTCATGATTAACATGTTTCTCCTCCTCCTGCTCTCAGTCTTAACCTCACAACAACAACCCTGAGAGGGAGGCTGGGCTGAGAGTCTGTGACTGGCCCGAAGTCCCCAGAGGGCTCTGTGGCCGAGCGGGTCTAGAACCCAGGTTGCCAGAGTCCCAGACCACTACACCCCCCTGGCAATAGGGTTGACCCGAATTCATTTAGCTGGCTGTGGAGGGAATCAGGCTGCTGTGTAAGTGGGACTGATCCTGCCTGGTGCTCAAGTCCCTTCTGCAGTGGCCTGCTTGGTGGGTTTTTTGGACAGGTGAGGCAAAGTCTTTCCAGATTTGTGTAGTGTGTAAAGAGGCACATCCTGGCAGGTGTGTGTGCCTGAGCGAGCAGAGTGGGGCGTAAACATGAAGGGAGGTGGAAGTCCAGAATGGAATCAGAGACAGTGCGGAAACTTCTGTGCATGCAGGCTGGCTATTGTCTCTCAGCTGCTGCATTTTGTCTCTGCTGCAGGTTGTGCTTTCCTGACTTACTGTGCCCGAGATTCTGCCATCAAAGCTCAGATGGCTCTGCACGAGCAGAAAACACTTCCGGGGGTAAGTTTGGGCGGTTTTGAGACTCTCCAGGCAGCAGCTCTGCTCGTTTTCCTCTCAGGGAAGGGAAATGTTATACCATATGCTGTAGTGTCATGTGTGAAATGGTAAAACCGTGCGCTGGAAGTGTCGGACTACAAATCCCATCATCCCAATCCAATATGGCTGTTCTTCCACTCCGGTAACTTTTTGCAAAGTTTAGAAGCGTGAGAAAAGCCATAGGAATGGGCTTGGCTCTTCATCTGTGCTTGTGGCTACAGATCACAAAGTGTTGTAGCATGTAATACGCCTGTTTGGGGCTTCATCCATGTCTTTACTAAGCCTTTACCCATCCTCTTCCTCCCTAACCCAGTTTTCTGTTCTCCTCAGTTTCTGTTCTCTTCTGCCAAAGAGTCAGCATTTCTAGTTATGGGATGACGATGGAGAAAAAAGCATACAACACGTCACTCCAAAATACCGAAACATAACTGCTTTCGAACCCAGCACCCTCCCTGCCCCGGCCTTGAGTTACGTTTAGCAGGAGATTTTAACTTGGTCCGTGTGTGATCAGGACTCTTCCATGATCAAAAACAGGAGCTGCTGAGAGGTTTCCTTGGTATTGTTCCACTAAAGTTAAGTGCTGTTTGTGGTTCAACACAGCAGAGCGATCCTAGAATTCCACTGTGGGGGAAGGGGAGAGAAGGCAGCCAGGCTGGCATATTGCATCAACAGTCTTGGTTTTCTGGCCTATATCTTCCCTAATTTTCCTTCTTGAACGTGTGCATTGCTAGGGCTGCCAGCCCTGTTTGCAACTCAGCTGGCCTTTGCTTCCACCATGAATGTTGTGCTGTTTGTCAACATTCTGTTGCTGCCTCCTCCACATCCTGGCACACGTGCAAAGGTTTCTGTTCCTTCAGAAAACAATCATGATTTTAAAAACTCAAAAAAGTTATGGTGCCAGGAAGATTTCTTTGTAAACTGTCTAAAGAGGGTTTTTTTTAGTAATGGAATGGCATAGAAAAACTTTAAATAAATAAATAAATGGAGAGCGAAAAGGAAAAGGAAAAAAAGAAAGGCCAAGAGAGCAGACTAGCCATGCCCCAAAATAACTGTTCTGAGGTTAGCCATGACTACTACTCAAATGAGGAAGCTTTTCAAATAGCTGAGGAAAGAAGGGAAGCAAAAGGCAAGGGAGAACAAGAAAGATACACCCAATTGAATGCAGAATTCCAGAGAATAGCTAGAAGAGATTAGAATGCCTTCTTAAATGAGCAGTTTAAAGAAATAGAAGAAAACAATAGAATAGGAAGGACCAGAGATCTCTTCAAGAAAATTGGAGATATGAAGGGAACGTTTCATGCAAAGATGGGCATGATAAAGGACCAAAATGGCAGGGACCTAACAGAGGCAGAAGAGATTAAGTAGAGGTGGCAAATTACACAGAAGAACTATACAAGAAAGAGCTTAACGTCCCTGAAAACCACAATGGGGTGGTCACTGACCTCGAGGCAGACATCCTGGAAGGTGAAGTCAAATGGGCCTTAGGAAGTCTGAGCAACAACAAAGCTAGTGGAGGTCACAGCATTCCAGCTGAGCTATCCATAATCCTAGAAGACACTGCAGTAAAAGTGCTACACTCAATATGCCAGCACATTTGGCAAACTCCACAGTGGCCACAGGATTGCAAAAGGTCAGTTTACATTCCAATTCCAAAGAAGGGCGATGCCGTATGCTGGATCATGGAGAAAGCTAGGGAGTTCCAGAAAAACGTCTACTTCTGCTTCGTTGACTATGCTGAAGCCTTGGATTGTGTGGATCACAACCAATTGTGGCAAGTTCTTAAAGAGATGGGAGTCCCAGACCATCCTATTTGTCTCTTGAGAAACCTGTTTGCGGGTCAAGAAGCAACAGTGAGAACTGGACATGGAACTACTGATTGGTTCAAAATTGAGAAAGGAGTTCGGCAAGGCTGCATACTGTCGCCCTGCCTATTTAACTTATATGCAGAGCACATCATGAGAAAGGCTGGGCTAGGTGAATCATGAATTGGAATTAAGATTGCCAGGAGAAATATCAACAACCTCAGATATGCAGATGATACCACTCTCATGGCAGAAAGTGAAGAGGAACTAAAGAGCCTCTGGATGCGGGTGAAGGAGGAGAGTGCACAGGTTGGCTTGAAACTCAACATTAAGAAGATTAAGATCATGGCATCTGGTCCCATCACTTCCTGGCAAATAGATGGGGAAGAAATGGAGGTAGTGACAGATTTTATTTTTCTGGGCTCCAAGATCACCACAGACTGAAACCGCAGCCAAGAAATTAAAAGACGCTTGCTCCTGAGGAGGAAAGCTATGGCAAGTCTAGACAGCATACTAAAAAGCAGAGACATCACCCTGCCGACAAAAGTGCGTATAGTCAAGGCTATGGGTTTCCCAGTGGCAAGGTATGGCTCTGAAATTTGGACCATAAGGAAGGCTGAGCGCCAAAGGATTGAGGCCTTTGAACTGTGGTGCTGGAGGAGACTCCTGCGAGTCCCTTGGACCGCAAGGCGATCAAACCGGTCCATCCTAGAGGAGATCAACCCTGACTGCTCTTTAGAAGGCCAGATCCTGAAGATGAAGCTCAAACGCTTTGGCCACCTAATGAGAAGGAAGGACCCCCTGGAGAAGACCCTGGTGCTGGGAAGGATTGAGGGCAAAAGGAGAAGGGGACGGCAGAGGATGAGGGTGCTGGATGGAGTCACTGAAGCAGTCGGCGTGAGCTTGAGTGGACTCCGGGGGATGGTGGAGGACAGGAAGGCCTGGAGGAGTGTTGTCCATGGGGTCACGAAGGGTTGGATGTGACTTTGCACTAGCAACAGCACTTCTCAAATTCCCTGTTGTGCTCATGTTGGGGACTTCTGAGCTTGGGGCCTCTCCAAAATGTGCCCTTCTGCACCAAAGACACCCCCTCCCTCAGTGGCTGGATTTGGACAACAGAAAACACAAACTTGGGGGTTGTACATGTGCTGAGTGCCGGTTGTTTTTGGATCAGGGTTGTTGTTGAAACACTTGTTATTGGGTTGTCTCAACCCAGCTGTGCTTAAGAATGAACGGCTTGTTACCCACAAACAGCCCCCAGTTCACAGCCCATGGATACTCCCTGTGGTTTATTCATGGATAACAAGATGCAGTTCATGAGTGCAGGTGGGTTCAGACAGCACAATAACCCAGGGGTCGAGTACAACACACACTGAACCCATACTGAGTGTGGGTTATGGTGTTGTCTGAACCCAGGTGGCGAGGCCCTGAAGTCCCATCAGCCTGTTCCTCATTTTGGCTTCCACATGCTTGCTTGGCTGTTGGTCAGGCAGCTCCTGTTCCTGGGGGCATGGGGCCGGGGCCTCAGCTGTGGAGGCCAGGACCTCTGACTTTATCCAAGGCGCCGATTAATCTGTCCATGGTGCTGAACTCATCCCCCAAGCAGGCTAGCCGCGATGGAGCATCAGGGATTGCTCCTTAGTGCCGAGAAGGCAAATCAGGGCCCCCACTGACCTCGGAGCTGCCCAAATCCGGGGAGGGGGGTGGTCCAGCATGCCGACCTGGCCTGGATGGGGGTCCAAAGCCAGCCCCGACCGAAGCTGATTTTGAGGCTCTCCGACAAGCTCGGGAAGCGAGGGAGCGCCCCTTCTGCGGCTTAATTGCAGCCCTTTGATGACGAAGCGGGTCTCTGCTAATTGAATGTTCTTTTGTTGTTAAGGATCGGGAGGCTGGTGCTTGGGCGCTTTCCCCACCCGGGCCCCGGCAGCGCGGAGGCCTTAATTGACTCCGCGGTTCCCATGGCAATGCTTCCTCGGGCTGCTGCAGCGTCTGCTTTGGAACTCCACAAGCCTCCTCGGCTTGCAAGGGGGCAGCAGGGGCACCCAGCGGTGCCAGGCACGTGGGTTCTCAATGGAGTAGGCATCTTGGGGTGCCTGGGCCAAGGCATACCTGTCAGGGTTCCCCCTGTCTGTGAGCCCCCCTTTTTGCAACCGTCCTCCCCAGCTGCTGCTGCTCCTCCTCACTTGGGCTACTGCCTGCTCTCGGTGCCAGGGAGCAGAGACCCCGTGGCACCTTCTGCCCCTCTTTCCCACTGCCTGCGCTGTCTGCACTGGGGCAAGAGGCAGCTTCCCCTCTTTTTGCACCTGTTGGGCTGCCACCTGCATCCCGCATCCAGTTCTGGGCACTGCAGCTGAAGAAGGCAGTGGACAAGCCAGAAACAGTTCCTAGGAGGGAAACAACGGAGTGGCATGCAAGTTGTTTAACCGGATTATTCCTTGGCAAGTTGGGAGCTGCAATCTGCATTTATTCACACGACCTTTATTGCTTTCGTTGTCATGCCCAGCAAGCTCTAGGCCTGGTGTCTTGGTGTTGATAGAACTGCAGATTGTGAAGGAAACTTGGAGGCCATCAAGCCAAGCTTTGTGCAGAATGCCACTTGGCGTTCCTTGGCTCCCAAGCTCTGTTGTGAAATAGACTGTGGCAACATAAAAACAATCAATTCAAAAGCTGAACAAAACAGAGGTGGGAATCAAAGACACTTTTCTTCAGGGCTTGTGGTTAACCCTATTCTTTCTGCAGATGGAATTGTTCCAGGTGCTTCAGAAGCTTTTACGGTGCATTATTTCAGAATTGCTGGCTGCACTCGCTCAGCCTGTACTCACTATCCGCAGTGCTTTTTAATAACTCTCTTTGGAGTGCTAAGAAAAGGCTAGCTGGGGAGAGCAGTGCGTACACTTCGTTTGACCCAGCCAACCTCTAACAGCCTTGGGCTAGGAAATAACAAGGCAACCAAGAGGGGTGTCCTGGGAGCCAGGGAGGCCTGTAACTCTCCCCTGCTGAGTGGCCGCTTTGCGCCAGGTGTCCACCATTGTACGGCGAGCCCGAGATTGTTCTGACGGGTTGAGAAATCCCTGTGTCCCGTCGCCTCCCATTCATCCTATGAGACTGGGTGATGCTAATGCAGTGCAAGGGTTCCTGCTGTCATTTAAGGGGCCCCTCCAG